GAAGCTAAGTTAGCCAAAACTTGTAACTTAGATAAGCTAGAAGTAATTCTTGTTATAATTTATATTTTATCTGTAAGTTTAATATACAATTCTAATAAAGTTTTGGCAAAATTGCCAAGTAATTTTGTAATTAGATTTTAATAATTTTGGGCTTGTTAAAATCCTTTTATTAAGAGAGTTACTTTAGTAGTTAAATCATTCAAATTGGTATAATAGATCAAAAATTATATAAATTTAAAATTTTTAATTTGCTTATAAAGTATCAGATATGGGTGGGTAGAAATAAAATTTTGAAATTTATTAATAACAAAATATTACATAATTTTTGGAAGCCCTTAAAAGATTTAATTAATTATCTAATCAAATTAAAAGCATTCTACCTAGGTTCTATTCAGATTCACTCGTTAGTTGCCCACTTGGGTTCTATTTGGGTAGCCCATAGGTCTACCCACGAGTAACCTGGGTGGTGATTTTTTTGATGAGTTCAATCACTAATATATACTGTATTTTATAATAAATAATTAAGCAATTTAAAAGATAAATTGTTATAAGATCAAAGAAATTTCATAGCATATATTGGTTAAGATTTATAAAATTAGTGATTAGAATATAAATTCATGATCAAAATTATAAGTCAAAGAATCTTCACAATCAACTTTAATACTAATCGCTTCATTTTATTAAAGTTGATTATGAATAATAAATGTAATTACTGTATTTACTAATAAGTATACTAGCAATACCTAAATTGTAAATGCAAAAATTTTATATTCGCAGATTTTTATACCATGCTCTGATTGGTAAAAAATTTTGAATGCTATAAAGTTGTAAAGTCAATCATCTAACAGATGCAGCTGAGGTTACACATTAATGAGCTTAATTTAATCCAGCATCATGTGATAACACTGTATTTTTATTGGTTGAGATTTGAAAGATATATAAAGATATATATCTCTTGTGGGAGATGCCTAAAATTACTCTTATTTAATTATATATTTACTTTTTATCTTAACGCCATAACTTGAGTACCATGGCTACATCTATCTAATTGAACATTCATTTCTATGATAGTACTATAAGAACCTAGTTAGAGATGTTAATGGAGTGCTCCAGGGTGGTGTGATGTATACTTTGCAAAGTATCTCTTAACACCACACCACACTGGAGTATAGTCTTACGAAGCAAACTCTGTAATATTACTCCGAAGTATTAAGTAGAATATAACTCAGAGTATTAAGTCAGAGTATACTTTGGAGTATAACCCAGAGTATAACCCAGGAGTATAACCCGGAGTATTATGATTAACGATGAGTAATTCATACTCATTTTATAACTATGACTTTAGTTCCCACAGAGGCACTTTACTATTGTTCTTCAATGGAGTATCACCTCAAGCCAAACTCGAATTGGCATTTATTAAATTCCTTCGCTTTTGTTAATCAATATGCATTTCAGGTCCCGAGTTATATGCTTGGATCATGTTTTCACTGCTGCCAGGTCACGTTACCTCCTTCACAATGTACAGTACGCACGTACATAATATATGTAATAAATACGTAATTTAAAAGTATAATAAATAGTTTGAATAATAAATAACGTTCTGATTATCGTATGTAATAAATGCGTAATTTAAAAGTATAACTGATAATTAATAGTATATGTAAAACTACATACGTACAATAAAGCTCTTAAAAATAGCTTTGCCGATTCCATTTTGCTCATGTAGTGTAAATATTGTAATTTTTGTATTTGTAATATTTTTTGTAAAGTAAATTATTTTAGCATTTAAATTTAAGTTTACAACGCTAGTTCTGATATATTATAACTCCGGAGTATAACCCATTTTATATTAATAGCATTACTCCAGAGTACTTACTTCGATTAATAGTATCTTAATAATTCGGGGTGGTGTAATGTCTAAACCACACCGGCATGGAGTGGGGTATACTTTGGGGTTACTCTGGAGTACATTACTCCATTAACATCCCTAGTTACGCGACTGGGTAAAATTGTCCTAAAAATTTCGAATACTGCATTATAATAAGATTATGTACTAAATTCATGTAACTAAAAAACAATGAAAATAAAAGAACATTTTATAAAATAAAATAAAACATAGTATTTAAATCGTTTATGAATTTATTATAGCTTAGTTTGATTACGTAATATGCAGCCCGTTATCATTTGGATGCTCAACAAAATTTCTTGTTTCCAGTTTGCTAAATTATACAGTATCTTGAATAAAAATATCTTCAGCGCTGCTGTACTTTATTGATTTGTTCTACTAGTACATACGGTTTAGATGGGTGCGAACTTCAAAAAGGAGATTAAAACAATAATTTTGAATTCAGCACCCATCTATACACAAATGTACGTACATACGTATAGTACCAGTTAGATTTTATATCATGTGATATGACATATACGAAATAATTACTTGCAATTAGTGATGCAAACGGCTGGCTTGGCTCGGCTCTAACATTACAGCTGTTCTCATAAATTTCGGGACAAACTAAAAATTTGTCGTTTCACGAAATCTCTTCGGTCTCGACCTAAAGGCCATCTAACCCTTCGGAATCACGTCATTGTCTTCGGATCTTCAGTCCGAGGTAGCTATGTATTTTCCGGAGAGTTAGATGATTCATAGGACGAAATCGAAGAGATTTCGGGAAACGTGCAAATTTTTAGTTTGTCCCAGAATTTATGAGAACAGTTGTAATCAAGCCGAGCCGATCCTTTGGCTCCCCAAACTAGAGCCGAGTCGATCCTTCAGCTTCCAAATTAGAGCCGAGCCGTTTATAAGCCAGCCAACCTTTAAGCTGATAATTTCAAGCTGAGAGCCGTTACTCTAAAGATAAGTAACATATCATGCATTTTTTTAAAAAAAATTTTCCAGATTTAATTTGCTATCTTTTTTAAATAAACATTAGGGTTTTACAGCTGTTTCCATAAAGTCCGGGCGATACGAAATCAGTAACTTATTGATTCTGAGTTATAAACTTTTCGATTTGGTCATCAGTAACTATGATAATAACTGTAAAAACGCAAAAGAATAAATACTTTATCGAGCAATTAAATAAAACAATTGCGGACGGTAAACATTAAGGCTTAGTGTTGTGAATTAAAATATAGGTGAGTTGATTCGGTCACGTAATATACTTATCGGCTCATGGCTCTCCAAAGTCTTGAGCCGAGCCGTTTTTAGAGCTGATGCTTATTAGTAGACCTGGAGCCGAGCTGATGATTGGCTCGGCTTAGCCGTTTGGCTCACGGCTCGGCTCAAGCCATTTTGCATCACTACTTGCAATAAAAGTTTAATAACTTTTTAACGAAGAATGTTTTTTTAAAAAATAATTCTATATTTATATTATTTAAGATGTAAAGAACATAAAATGAGTTTTTTTGAAAAAAGTTTTTTGTTCAAAAGTTATTTTACCTATGATTTTAAAAATTTCATTGCTATTATAAAAAAAAAAATTATAAAAAACTTTTCAGGATGTCTTACGTACGTACGTACTAGGGTGTCAACATTAGCAAGCGGTATAATGATCATTAATCAAGATTTTTTATATATCAACGACAGTGTAATAGTAAATTCAGACTGCAATAGCTCTTGAACTAGCAAACCAACCCAAATAAAATCACATCTTTCAGACTCATTTTAAGCATACTCTTTAAAGCTACAACGCCTTTTTTTATATTTGTATTTATTGTTGAAGTATAGCGAAGAACTCACTTTCTATGCAAATGGCCTTATTTATACATTTTTAATAAAAACATCTAAAACGCAACTTTTAATTTTTTGTCGATCACCATTGCATACTATAGGAAGTTCATTTTTTTTGATATTTTTATTAATAATAAATCAAAAACGATAATTTTGCGTTATAATTAAATCCTCTGCTATACTCCAAACAATTAAGTAAATAAGACAATATAATTTTATTTGTGTGCTGGTTCAAGAGTTATTGCAGTTTGGATTTTTATGTTTTTACTATTACACTATCGTTGGTCTATAAAAAATCTTGATTAGTGATCTTCGCCGCTTGCACTATATACTAATGATTGACACCCCAATGTTTTACTGCACCATATTCAAAATTCTTGGCGATTTTTACCCCGGTGGTTACACTGACTAATATGTACTAAATCTTGGTCTTGCACTTCACTATTTTTAGAAACTTAGGTCATGCATACGTACAATTTTGCCAAGCAATGAGGGGAGGACAAAATTTACATTTTTAATGCCATTAAATATTACTTTTTTGATACACTTATACAATAATCCTCTGATTAAGAGTCGAATAGTGTTGAGAAATAAGTATTCACGGTTTCTGGTCGTAAGACTTAAACATAATAAATAATAGAATATGCCTAATTGGCGTCACATGATGAATCATGCCCGAGAAATAATCAAAAAAAAAAATATTATTATTACAATTATTTTAATTAATGAATTATTTATGATAAATTAATTGGTAATTCCAAATGATTAAATTATCTCAAATTAAAACTTTGCCGAAGAATATAACTGTACTGTAGTAAGCATTTAAAATTGCAAAGAATCTCGAGGCGTTGGTCATTAGGCATAACATAACGATAGAGGAGCGAGAAGGGCTAAAAATGTCATGCAGTATCATATGACGATCAATGCAGCATTATTTAGCATTGTACAATCTTAATGCAGAATTTTGATTTAATTTAAAATTGAGTCTTGTGAGAAAAAAAATTAAACTCTGTATCTCATCTTTCACATGTAGGATTAGACCTTAATTATTTAACCTATACGGTTGTCTCGTTAGCATCTCTTCAAATAATTTGTATTATCAAGAACATAACTTTTGCAATGTAAGCAATGTGTGTGTTACCATTTCTAAATTTTAATAGGATTTTCTTTATTTGTTGACTGCATATCGATATAATTTCACTAACGATACGTAAATATAAAGTGAAAAAAAAACAAGGCACGCACGCACGAACATGTCTATACACTTTCACTCATGGAAACTCTACAAACTTTAACAAAAGTTACTGTGAATGGGGGGTCTTATGGGGAGCGTATAATTCTAAATGTTGGTGGAATTAAGGTAAAAAAAAAAGTTATGCCATTATTTTGAAAAAATTTTAAAAATTTAACGATGTTTATTAATTATTAAGTATGAAACTTATATTTCAACTTTAACGGCTTATCCGACTACACTTCTCGGAACTATGTTTCAAGAGAGGAATAAAGCATTACTAAAACCGATCAATGGAAATGAACATTTTATTGATCGTGATGGTAATTTATTTCGTTATATATTACAATTCTATCGTAAAAACAAAATAATCTTGTCGGAATCAGGTACGTTAATAAAATATTGAATTTTTATTAATTCGATTATGCATTATTAGAATAAAAGTAATACAATCAATAAAATTTTAAAGTTCTAGATCCGAGTATAACTCGACAAGATTTAGAAGATGAATGTGATTATTTCCAAGTTCCACGTAATGCAATTATAAATGCTCCAATCGTATCAATACATAGAATATCACCAATTCGTAGATTAGTTGCCGATAAACTTGACAGTTTTGTCAAAACTCTTGAAACAATAGTTATTAATACTGCTAATACAATGTTGAAACACCATTTTAGAGGTTTTAAATCTACTATAACCATTACATTTGCTCAAGAGAGTTATATAGGTGGCATGACCTCTGTAGTCATCAGACCAAAAAATGATACTCTAAATAGATCAACATGGAAAGTAATGCAACATCATGGTGCAATGGGTTATTTTCTGCTGGACCAATTTGGTGAAAAAATCGGAAATTATTTGACTCATTCAATGCCTGAAGTTAGTTGGGAATTAAATCATAAAATTTATGGTGTTAGAGAAAGATTTTATGATATTACTTTGATTATTGATTATGATTTTAACAGAGAAAGAGTTCTAGCAGATTCTTGTTTAGCTATTTTATAATTCAATTAATTGTAATTCAAACAGATCATAATGAATAGTGTATATTTTCTTGAAAAATTTGATTCATTTAATTGTAAAGATATTATATTAAATAATTGTCATTTTTCATTTTGGATTTTAAATTTCCTATAATATTTTTTTGATGAAAATTGCCAATAAATATTAAACAAATGAATGTAAAAAATATTAATATACTATATCTTTAATAAAACGCGTATTTTATAAGCTTTTTTTGGTAATTTCTTTTTGGGGAATTTACAAATAAGGGCCCGGAAAGTGAAAATAATTACAAATACGGGCCCAAATTAAAAATAATTACA